CACAAAATAGCCCCTAAACAGCCACAAAACCGCCCTAAAATAGGCCACATTGCAGCCCTAAAAATCAGCCCAAAAGGTAGAAATAAAACCAAAGTCGGAAGAACACTACCTCTTGTAGCGTGTAGGAAGGAGTAAAACTTCCAAGAACACTAACTAAAGCCCAAGAACTTTTGATTTCTCCAAAGTCCCCTCTTAGATCTTCCGTGAAATTCACTTTTTTTGGTACATAGACGTAGCCCTCGTCGCAATGATTGACTTTAACTTTTGATCCGAGTTGATTCGAGCGACAGAACTCCGAGAATCGAAGGGAGAAGCTTTAAGATCTTGATTTTTCTTCTCTTTTCTCTCTTCTCTCTCCTCACACGTTTTTGGCTGAAGTCGTAGAGATATTTTTATTTAAAATTTATCCAATTATATATGAATTTTATAAAATTTATATTTGGGGACCTTTGTGAGGTCATCCGCCACCTAGTCGCCTCGAACCACGTGTAAAAATCTGACTATCTCGAAATTTAACGAAATTCAATAGGATAACTAGTCTCTGCGATACGAATCTAATGGCGAAGTCCGTTGTGTCATGCAAGCTCTAAAGAATGCGTATTTCAATTCCGTAATATAGTGACAAATTACCATTTTTCCCTTTGTTGGAAAAAATTCAAAATTTTCCCGAGTTTTACATTTGATACGACCACCTTGGAAATTCAACCTTTTCCAGATCCACATCCATGAATAGTAGAACATCGGCAACCTTGTATGTTCATCGAAAAAGGGGAGCAAAGAGAGAGACTAGTAGGGATGGCGCCGACGGTGGCTTCAGCAATACAAAACCAGTGTGACGAAGTTTTAGTGGCTTCGTTTTCTTCGTGATGGTCTCAAAACAAGAGTACAAGAGGGGGAGAGAGATGGGGCTGAGAGGTTGTGGTGGATGGAAAGGTTTTAGTGGCGCAACACTGGGAAGAAAAGAGAGGAGAGAGAGGTGGCTGGGCAAGAATAAATTTGAAAGGCGGCAGAAGGATGGGTTGTCTGACAACAGGTGAAGTGATTGAGAGAGGTTAGAATTTTGAAAAATGTTGTGGATGAAAAATGATGAATTTGGAGGAAAATTAAAGGTATATTAGTGGTCGTTAGATGAATTAATTTGAGATCGTTAGATTTGTTTGTTAAAGCTGCTCTGTTTTATATTATAGATTTACAACTTTTTGAAATCCCTTTAGCCTTAGCTGACCAGACCACAAATGCTGAATGAAAACAACTTGGAATATATTAGATTAGATAGATTGGGATTGGGGGTTGTCTCTGTCTTTTAAATAATATTAATATACCAAGCTAGCTTGTTTGTTTCCTGCTCTGGTCAATACTCAAATTTAAATCACTGTAGCAGGAGGTTGTTGGCCTCTCAAATTGTGAAACCGTGCCGATTGACTGATATGTATTGTCCAGGCACCTACTTACTTAAAAAAGAAACATCATCATGCATGTTGAAATCCTTAGGCAAATAAGACTGCTATGCCACATGCTTAGCATTGGTGCAACACACACACCGACGTAAGAGATGCGACAGATCAAGGACAGGATGGTTTTAGTGATGCAATTTGATGAACATTAGACTCAACCGCCAACAAGTGGAGACATGCATGGATGTAAGGCCATATAATTAGAGGAAAAATCATAGCTGCCAACAAGTGGGAATTGGTTATGATGAGGAATATGGTGGTTCCTAGATAGGAACAAGAATGAGGCGATTACCATGCAACCTCTTTTGAGTAATAGTAGATGTATTGGAAGAATGGACTCTCTAGCAGCTACAACAACTCCATGCTACAAACCAACCAGCTTCCAAAAGCTTGATAGCCTTTTTAGTATTCCAATCTTGCAAGCCTTACCTTAGATCCCTTCTCATAACCTAATCCTTCTAGGTGCTGCAAATTCAGTTACCTGTTTGATTACCTATACATTGTACAACGTGCTTCAGGTGGCTTCAAACTCTATTTGGTTCATCTATTTAACGAGATTGTTGTTCCATACACTTAACACAAAAATAAGAGGCGTCCAGTAAATGTTAAGCTCTTAATTGCAAGGCATAAAAAAAAAACCTTAAAGAGTTATCCCTTACTCTCTGGATAAATTGCATGGGCAGATATCTATCCAAGACCTACACACTGGTCCACACCTATCAATCCATTTTTACCATGTTTCATCTATCGATTTTGCAATTCTTCTGGTTCGGAAAAGGAAATAGAGGTTTTAAACTGGCATATTTGACAAGATCTTCTGAAGTTTTTTCTATATCTCAAAAAAAAAAAAAACCCAAAATCGGTTGCTCATTTATTTTCATCATGTCATTGCCTTTTTTCCTCTTTTATTCTTATTCTTCCTCCTATTTTATATATTTACAGGCATCTTGATCGTTGAAAGCAGGCTATAATTTCCATAGATGCAGGTTTTGGAATGGAATATTTGCATTCAAAGAAAATTGTGCATTCAAATCTGAAATGTGACAACTTGTTGGTGAACTTGAAAGATCCTTCACTGCCCATTTGCAAGGTTGCCGCATTCTTTTTTTACGTCAGATGAATTTTGCTAGCATCATATATTTATCCTGTAGACATTTTTATTAAGAAAAAGATTGGTTTTAGACAGAGCAGAGTCCATATTACAGTAATACAATTTTTTCTCGGGTAGGTGATTTTGGCTTGTCAAAAATAAAGTGAAACACATTGGTTTCTGGTGGAGTTAGGGGGACCTTACCATGGATGGCTCCAGACCTTCTGAATGGTGGCAGCAATAAAGTTTCCGAATAGGTAAGATGTAATGTAAACCTATACATTTTTGTATCACTCCAATAACATAGAAGTTAACCAAAGAATTGATTTGGATGTGACTATGCATTGAAGATCTTAGAGACATTGGCAGTTCTCAATTTGAAGTATCTCTTATTAATTGATATCTATCCTGCTTTATAGAAGTTTTTTTTCAGGTAAGTAGGTTTATAGAAGTTTCTTCTTTGCTGCCCGTTTATTGAGAAGTTTCAAACATCATTTCTTTTTTAAGAATTGAATAACTGATTGACACAAGCGAAAGATCAAAAGAGAAAAAACTTGGTTTTCACAAAATTCTCAGCACTGTGATTCTCTCACTTTCAAGCTTTTGAACTTCTCATCCTTAACCTCACAGGTCACCCACTCCTTTTTCCCATTCTCTATTTTTTGTTCATCCAATGGGTTGATGTTTTCTCCTTTGGTATTGTCCTTTGGGAGATTCTCACTGGTGAGGAGCCTTATGCCAACATGCATTATGGTGCAACATAGATGCGCTTGTATTGATGTACTTCAATTATTCTCTAGATATTGTGGTTTGAGTCCCCATTGCATTTGATTTATTGTTCTCGCAAATTTGGATAAAACCTGAGCAACCATAAATGGGTTGGAACTAGTTAATTATGCATCATTAACATAACATCACCGTATCAGATGCCACATGACACGGAAGCTGACAATCCATGTCAGTTTATACAAGGTGTCTGGTATGGTGATCTTTGTTCCCTAAATACCTCATAATCGTGGCTATGCCAGTTTGGGGTTGACAGGCATACCTTTGCTTTATAATGAAGTGCCCAATGATCACAATTCTGAAGAATGCCGTGTATTTATGCATTGTACAGTGGAAAGTGCTTCTTGCACTTGTATCAGATTTTAAAAGTGTGGGGGTGAAATTCACTCAGCTGAGAAAATTTGTTTTTCATATATCAGAAAATGAATTCATTTTGTTCTTATTATAGCCGTAGGCTATGGGAATCTGTTATGCGTTTCATAGGTGGAAGTTATTTATGGATGAGCTAAAGGTTTAAGAAAATGATATCTAAAGCTGAAAAAGGAAAGAACATCAGCAGGGTACTTTTCGAATCACAGTTGGCTCTCATATCCATCCTTATCTGACCGATAAGATTCTCCACCAGACTTCACGAAAAAAAAAGATTCTATACACTAGTATTCTTGAAGGGTTTTGGCTCAAAATGCTATTCATGTGTCTCAAATTGGTATTTCAAGTCGGTTGTGGTCCATTTATACACGTCATCTCCACAGGTTATGGTTAATATCTGTCTTTCCCTCGTATGCAGGAGGCATTATTAGTATTACATTGAGGCCAACCATTCCCAACTACTGTGATCCTGAATGGGGAAGGTTAATAGAGGAATGTTGGGCAGCTAATCCTGCAGTCAGGACATCTTTCACAGAAAGTGAGAGTCATTTGGGTGTTCTGTCTACTACTGCCCAGAACAAAGCACAGGTGCAAAAATGTAGCCTAGTCTGATAAGTTGGTGCCATGTGCGCCTAGGACTTAGTTGTCTTGGGGATTTCCAAAAATGGCATTGAGCCCTTGTATGCTCTACTCATGATCTGTTTCTATGGTGTTCCCTCTTTTCATCGAGTCTCTCTTAGGAGAGTGCCCTCTTTCCACAGGCTTAAGATAGTTTCAACATCAATATAAGTCCACCACCAACACCTTGAGGTTGTCTCCATCTAGTTTGGTACATCACTATGCTTAGTGGGTGCATTGGGACAAGGGTTTTGTTGAGTTGAATTGTGATGTGCATTTGCAATCAATTCTTCAAAACATGTCTTAGTAAGAAAACATGAAGAATGAATATGGAATATTAAAACAAAAATGGTGAAATAACACTACACAGTAAAATGATGAATGATGGACACCATAGGAAAACCTTATATCAAAGGCAACAACAGTCAAACTATGATGCAATATCTCATGAAAAAATATGGATTCTTTTTTTTTTCCCTCTCTTTTTGGGTCTTGGAAAACATTTGGGTGCGAAAGAACATTTTGTTTTGGTAAAGATCCCTTAGAAAAGAGCCATTAGGGAGTATTGGGATCATTGCAAACAAGTTATTTTTTATTTTTTTGGGTTTTTTCAAACAAGTTAATTTGTTGCATTTTTTATTTGTGTAATCCATCATGGCAAAGCAAATATCAGCCAAGACAATTTAAGATGACTGGATGTTCTGTGGTTGCCATGTAGATGCCAGCATTATGGGCCTGCCCTTCCAACCGAGTAGAAGGCAACCCTTCTCATTAGCTAGAGTGTAGCCATCGCAGCCATAGACAGATAGCATCATCCTAACTTGGCTCATACACTTCAAACCTACCACTTGAAAATCGGCTCGGCCTAGTTGCCTTCGCCATTGATCTGCTCTTTCGTGCCTTTCAATCCTGCCATAGCCCTCACAAACTACAATATTGTGAATTTGCTCCGCAAAGTGGTATTTCTCTATCTTCATCCTCTGTGGACTATTTCGTGGTAAAGTAGCTTCAAGTGAATCAAAAATGGCAGAGTAATAGTGCAGTGATTCTAGGAATCTTCCAAGAAAGAAAGGCCCATTATGATTCGCATCTTGTTCCACTACTATAAGCAGGGTTGGGTTTAGTTTCTTTATTGATTTGAGGATTATCTTTAGAGAGCCTCTACTCTCTTTGACATACTTGTGTAGATGCATGATGTTGTTGACAAACAATGCTTCGCCTTCCCTCAATTTGAGATTTCTCTAATTAAAAGTGATGGTGTCGCTGGCTCTGCAATCATGTGGAACTCCAGAGGGATGCCAAGTGAACTAGCTTCATCGACAAGTGCTTTCATACTGGCTTCAAGATCCGTGAGATCTTGACCTCCTCCAATTATGCTTGTGATACAGAGTAGTTTTAGAGGGCCTTCGATCCGTGAAGCCTATGTTCTCAACAAAGAAGGCCACTGAAAGGTATTTTCTATTCCTAGATCAATGATATGCAAGGAATCCTTCCCTTGTGCTGCTTGACATATAGCTTCATTGGCAGCCGTGAAGCCAAAAGCAATATATGGAGTTGTTTGGTGAAGTAGATGAAAAGCTTGTGTTTTCTCCTCCCTATCGATGGAGGATGCATCCACCATGATACCGTCTGTGAACGAACCATTTGTGCTGACATTGTGAAGAAGAGAGAGCCTAGATTTCAATCCCACAGTAAAGCAATAGGAGACCCGTTGCAAGGAATCACCCCAAGTACTTAAAGAAGGTCAGATTTGGGTGAACAATGAGTTGGCAAGTTGGGTGTCCCTGCAACCCACGGCCTCAGCACAGGCCAACATCAAGTGCACAAGGTGAAATCCTTAGTCCGTCCCCTGGCTCACCTCTTCTCCACAATGAGGCACCATCTCTAAATCTAAAACCACCCCGAGATCTTCCCTTGAGCTACTCATTTCCAACTCGTCTGCTTCATTCATCATTGGGGTGTCTCCATAAAATCATTTGCCATTGAAAAGCTTTCAAGCTCATCTTGAAATTGATCATTTAATGCCTTATGTTGCTTGGGGAGTTGGTTGTTATCATTGTCATAATAATCCATGTTAAATAAGCTATCGACAAATTCCTCCCCCTCGGAAGGGGGCCAGAAGAGGAGTGCTAGTGGCAAGAAGGGGAGACCATAGCTCAAGTAGCTGATCAGTTAGTGTTTCCCCCCATTCTCCTCATGATTGTCCTTGCTCGACTCTCGTGGGGCAAAAGCGACGTATGGCGAGATCTTGGTTGGGACTCTCATGGATGGGGAAAGAGAGCCAACCATTGATCTCTTCCATTGATTTTTGGAGGAGTTGTTGAAGGAGCCTGGGGAGAATGAGCTTAGAGGCTTAGGCTTAGAGCTCGATTGGTCACAAAATATAAAAGGGATAGGTCTTTTTTACGAAGTTGGTTTAATAAGAATATTCTCTTTGTTTGAGGGTGAGGAAGGACATTTTCAATATTGTAAATGAAAATAAACTTTTCTAAAGGACACCAATAATACTTCATTTGGTAGGGAGGATGGAAAGTAGGAAGGATACACTTTCTATCCTTCAAGAATGAAAAGTAGGAAGGATACACTTTCCTTCTTTTGTATTTGGTTGGATGGATGGAAAATAAAAATGACTATTTTTTTTTTTTGTACTGGTTAAGATTAGAGATGACAATCGAGTTGTGTCGTGTCAGATTCGTGTTGAGTAATTACGGGTTTGTGTCGAATATTATTCAAACCTAACCTAACTTATTTAACTAATTGTGTCGTGTCGAGTTGCGAGTTGACCTGTTTATTTTCGTATTGAGTTCGTGTCGTGTCGCCGTGTTGAGTCGAAAATTTTCACTTTTAGTTAAGATAGAAAAAATATTTTTTTTAAAATTTATATATTAAAATTTTTAATATATATAATTAACACAAAGATATATAGACAAATAAAATACATCTCAACACAAATAATTAACTTTCCATCCTCTTTCCTTTCAATTTTGGAGGGATTGATTTTGGTGAGTTGGAAGGAAAGTTAATTCATCCATTTTTTTATCATTCCTTACCAAATATGATGTTTTATTTATCCCTCCAATTTTTCATCCTTCCAACTTTACATTTTTCCACTTTTTCATCATACCAAACGAAACATAAATCTTCCAAGATTGTGACTCTTTAACTTCAAGGACTTTTTACATCATGGTTGGTCCCTCCAGGGTTAGATAACCTCGTGACTATTCACCGTCAAGAGAAAAAAGGGAAAAATTAAATAATAGAGAAAAAATAAGTTGACAAAAAAAATTTGTATCAACACGTATATATTTATCTTGGGTTTATTATTGGAGTGTAGTTGACTGCCGATGCAACTGGTAGTTACTGTTTTTAATGCCATATGGTGCTTTGTCAAAAATCATAAAAAAAAATGTCCTAAATATGTGTCTCTACTTCTTATAACTAGGATGGCCTAGTGGTGTTAGGATGATTGGAAACATCTTGATCCATGGTTGGTCTTGTGTTTGAATTCCAATCCACCTTTCCCTGGTTCCATGACTAAAGAAAATGAAAGATTTTTTTAAGAAAAAAGTTCAGTACTGAAAATATTAGAAAATTAAAGAAATAAAATAAAGTCAACATGAGATTCTGATCACAAGATTAAGTACATTGAGTAGGAGTGATGTTATTGGTGGGCAATGAATGCAACTTATTGCTCATTTTTGGTAAATCTTCGTTCGGTATGGTTTGATTTGGTCTTGAATGAAAGATTATGGGAGTCAATGAAGGGTGGGCGAGGGTGACATTGAGATATGGGGGGGTCCGTTATAGCAGGCTAGAAGAATTTGCAGCTGCTAAGTAATCAAAAGTTGAATTAGTATGGAGAAGAGTTATAAGAAAAGTAATAGGTAGGTAATAGCAAGTGCAGAGCCGGCCATAAAGACAAGCACTATGAGCCGAATAGGGAATGATAAGGAGGATTAAAGTAAAGCATTTCGAGAATCAAAGATGGATCCATCGGTTACTACAACAAATGCTTTTATGGCGTCATCTGTTTGTCACAACTTACATTCCCCTTGGTCGGCCAACAAGCAATGAGACATTGTAGGTGGCTTAGGCTTATAGCTACCTCCTGCAAACACTATCTATAGACATATATAAAGCATTTTTTTTAATTACTAAAAAACATATAAATTAAAATATTTGTCCAATAAGCAAGCATCTTCAATTGATGGTTTGATAATGTGCAAAGACTCCTATTAAATGAAGTGTAATGGACAACTCATAGTTATATGCATGTAGCCATCACCGACAGGTGGATGTATCATGTATGTGAGGGAGAGAGAGAGAGAGAGAGGAATGAAAAGGAGGGGGCCCATGGAATGAATAAAAGAATTGAATAGAATATTGTGTATGTGAAGCAATAGCTATGAGTGCTACATATGACTTAGGGAGGGATGAAAGTAATTGCTACGAGAGCTCCGCTAAGTACCATCCATCATTCTGCTGAGAAGCTCTTTTCAAATAGTACATGGTTTTTTCCCTTGCTACACTATTAATCTTTTCTCCTTCCTATCCTTCCGTGTTTCTTGAATTGTTTGTTCAAGCCTTCGTGCATTTTGTGGGTGAACACTCATGAAAATTCTCTCTCTATTTTTATGTAGGACCCGTTGTATATAAAGTAAATCCTTATTAAACCCTCTCATAGCACAAACATGTATTCCTATACTGGAATTTTAGATTCCACACTTGGAATGGTACTTGAATAACAAATGATGAGTTTCTAAGCTACACCACAACTGCACACTGTTCCACCCCAAATGAATCATATTCGCATACAGAGCAAGATTTGTAAAAATTATAAAAAAAATTGGATATATCTTCAATAAGTTACTTTGTAAAATTAGCAAAGTAGGTTTTAACAGAAATCTGCAAGCTATAAAAGAAGTAGCTAACATAGCCTAAACTAATTGAGCTCAAAATTTCTCGGCTAGTAAGAGGTCCAAGTTATAACCCAAACATCTGAAATGCAAGCTGCTGCACAAATGCAGCTTACAAAGACATTAACGTATAAACAGTATGCAAGGGTTTTCAAATTCCCACTACATGGCAGATTTATCTCTTTTTTCTCCTTTTACTCCTTTTCTTAAGTAAATCTTTCTCTGCTAATGTCTTCAGCTTTTGTGCTTTCCTTGCTTTTGCCTTCTCCTCAAATCCATCATCCATCATCTTCATGGTTGCTACGCGTTTGGCCTTGTAAACCTGCAAATTTGGACAAAAGTCGTCTGGAAGATGGGAACTATGCAATCCATGTGGAGAGACACTTATTTATACTCCCTACAAGCTAATGCTAATAGACATGCAAACTTTGATATTTGATACTGGCTACCATGTTTCAACCCATGTCATTTTATGACAAAAAAGGTAAAAGCTTACTTTACTACCGTTTATGTCAAGGTCATGCTACTTCACAACCATTTATGTTGGGTTTATTACTGATTACTTTNGTAAAATCTTACTTTACTACCGTTTATGTCAAGGTCATGCTACTTCACAACCATTTATGTTGGGTTTATTACTGATTACTTTTAACTTTCCCACTCATCATATAATTTAGAGATTATTGGGTGTAGTTGGGGAATCAGTAAGTTACATAGAACTATGCTGAGGAGTGAGGAATAACAATGTATAAAGCCTCATTTCAAGATCAGCTGATGATTGGGTCATTCCTGGACAAGGTCTAACACCTGAATCTCGGACTGTTTGTCGAGCTTGGGATTTGCCAGGACAGTAACCAATTAACATTTAACACAAGTATGATCCATTAAACTGCACATGACTAATTATATATTTTGAATATTAATAAATACGACAAAAGCTGTACTGAATATTTTAATGGGCAGTACAAGAGTCTCTTTGATAGTAATTGAAATTAGCAGATAGTGCAACCACCTTCCTTAAAAAAGTAAACTTCAAGGATTTGGAAACCCTAATGCTATAATAAAGATGATAATAGGAAAAGGAACTGAAGTATTCCAGGAAGAAGAATATGCACTCAAGCCACACATGTTCAACTGATAAATGGTTCTGAAAATCAAGTATAAAATATGGCAAACAGCATTTAGCATGGACCATCCAATAATTCACTGCAAAGCTAGCTCAAATGTTCCAATCGGTCTTCCAAAAAGACTCACCTTTGTAACATCATCAAGCACCTCATTCTCTTTACATTCGAACTTGTCTAACTGTTTTCCAAGGACAGCTTCAATTTCATGAATAAGAATTACATCGTTCTGCAAGATATGTCTCAAAAGTTAGCAACGTCATCTCCAATTTCAGCACATTTCTGTACTTAGCTTGGTAGGAAAAGTAATGTGGAGAAAGCATTTCATACATACTATTGGTTCCTCTTGTATATTACACACACACATTGAGGAGTCAAGCAATTGTCATGAGGAAGAATCAGGGAATTTTTTTGTGCATCTAACACTTCAATATTCTGTTGAAAAGAGTGCCTTTCCAAAAGATGACGAGCAAGTTTAGGAAGAAAATATCTATTCTAAGGAGACGACAATCACAGTAAAAGTCCTTAAAAATAGCATCCTCCATAACTAATTATTCCACACAAGCCATTAATCGAAAAGGATGATTGAGATGTGTTTATGCGATCTTGCAAGTTTGGGAAGTGCCACCATAAAACTAAAAAAACAATACCATGTCGCATANTTGAAAAGGATGATTGAGATGTGTTTGTGCGATCTTGCAAGTTTGGGACGTGCCACCATAAAACTAAAAAAAATTACCATGTCGCATACACCGAGCACTACAACAATCTGAGAAATTCTATTTTATCGAAATCAGAACTTATCTAGAGTCCCAATGGCGGAAACTGCCAACAGCTAAAGACAATATTCCCCGGAAACATGGACAGGGAAAAAGTACAAAGGATAGATAATTTTTTCTCTTGTAAAGAAACATCACAAGCATATCAAAAGGCGAATTGTTATTAAAATGTTGCATGATAGACACAGTGAGCACACTAACCAAAAAACCAGGGATTATTCTTGGAATAGTAGTATTTAGCTATCCTCTTAACTGCATATATACAAGAATGAAGAAGCCAATCATAATATCCATCACAACACTTATAGGAAACCTTAATCACATATGGCTAATGTAATGATGCATGGACAGACATTCATAAAAGCAAAAAAAAAAAAAATGACAAACTAAAAAAAGAAACATCCATCATTCCCAAGTTTTGATTTCATGGTAAACCTCTAAAGAAGAACAATCCCATCTTTTATGCAGGAAAAGGGGTACGAAAATTAACACCTTCAAAGTTGTATCTATTAAATTCACTTGTTACCTGGGTAACAAAGCTCACAGCCAGACCACCTCTGCCAGCTCTCACAGTACGCCCAACATGATGAACGTAGTCCCTAGGAAACCTGCATTGATGAATTGTATTTCACTGAAAAGAAAAGTTACATGGAAACTTAAGTCAACAAAGATCTGCTAAGAAACGTAACCTCGGAATATCATAATTGATTACAAGATCAACCGTAGGAATATCCAAACCACAACTGGCAACATCAGTTGCAAGCAATATAGGGGCCTGTCCAGATTTGAATCGATGTAGTGCAGCGAGCCTTAAAGATTGGGATTTAAATGAATGCAATGCTGCAGCTTCTATATCAAGCTCTTCCAACAATAAACTTAGAAGATGACATGTCCTGATTTTTTTTGATAAGAAACGAAGTTATTTCACTGATATTGATGAACTACATAAAATAGAAAAGAGGTTGGACAAGTCGTCCAACCCCGAATCATTAAAAACACAGAAAAAGAACAAAAAACAGTGAAAATAGCAGTAATAACAAAGCAGAGCAAAGAGTGCTTAGAGCAACATATAAATCACTGCAAATTTAGGGAATTATAATTTGAGGTTTGTTACTAGATTATCAAATCCATTTTACAATTTGATATAACTAATGTAAATTTCAAGCTTTAAATAAAAGCATTGTTACATTTTGTTGAAAATTAGACATAACTGAGATGCAAGACTGGGGAGTACACGCAAGGGTCCGTAATGGGGGAAACCCAAAACTTAGTACTTAAAACATTAATGCTAACATTCTTTGTTCTAATGCTGATTTTCTTTTAAGATATTTATCCACAATTGATGAAACAATTAATTTGTTTAGTAGAGTCTAACTCAATAATGATGACCATACATATTCAAAAATAAATAAAATAAAAAATTATATCTATCACAAGTCTATTAAACAAAATATTGATGTGTGAACAATCTCATATGTCACAAATAAATTGTCCAAGTCTAATATATGGAAACAAATTATTCTAAAACCTTATTCATAATAGGCAAAATTCCAAATACAAGAGGAAAGATCGAGAAATGGAAACTGAAGATTGAGTCATGACATTGAGTTGTCTGAGAAAGTTTTAAGTCCAATTTTTAATTTGTGAGAGAGTTTCACTTATTTTTAAAAATTAATGGGGACAAGTTGTAATAAATTCTAATTTAAAAAAAATAATCAAAAGACACTAAAATTTTTATAAGTTTCAATGGGGGCAATTGCCCCCACCACGGTTCAAAGTATCGGCCGAGTCCGATACGACTCGGCCGAGTCGTATCCGACTCGGCCATAGACGATACGATAACGGTACACGAATCGAAAGATTGACGAATTTAACTTGTATCGGCGATATCTCGACGATATCTCGGACGTCTCGGCCGAAATCAAATGTGTCGGTGGAAACTCGGTTCAACTCGGGCGACGCGATTCGGAATCCTTCCGAGTCGAACACGACAATAGAAAAATTCCAAAATCTGACCCACACCTCTGCAAAAGATTATCAACACTCCTTCATTTTTTTGAAAAAAGAACAAAAATCCAAAAAAAAAAAAAGGGGATGGGAAATAAAGCAGACCTACTGCCAGACTACCCATTGAAAAACTCAACACCCATGTGAAAATTGCAGAAATCAGATGAACCCCAAGGCTGCAAACCCCTATAAAAAATCAAGATTACTACCATACCTGTAAATCAAACCTTGAAGCATCTTCTTCATCTGATCTTGTGTGTCGTTCTTGTTCGATTCTTTGTTATGCTTGTTCAACTCTTTGTTGAGACGATTTTCTTCGGTCGCGAGGAACTGCACTGCATCTCTCTGTCTACGACTCTGGGTGACTCTGGGCAACTCTGGGCGACTCTGGGAAGTGAGAAAGACGAAGAACTTAAAATAGGTAGGAAAAAAAAATAATTTTTTATTTTTTACGGAATGTTTATATATTTATTTTTGCCTTAAAAGTAACATAAAAATAGTAGTTCAAATGGGTGGTGTTGCAAATTTAGCCGCAAGGTCCTTGGTTCGATTCCCTGCCTCACATGTAGTCTGGTTTTTTTTTTTAACCGAATATTTATATATTTATATTTGCCTTAAAAGTAACATAAAAATAGTGGTTCAAATGGGTGGTTTTGCAAATTTAGTTGCAATGTCCCTGGTTCGATTCCCTGCCTCACATGTAGTCTGGGTTTTTTTTTTTTGTTTTAACCGAATATTTATATATTTATATTTGCCTTAAAAGTAACATAAAAATAGTGGTTCAAATGGGTGGTGTTGCAAATGTAGATGCAAGGTCCTTGGTTCGATTCCCTGCCGCAACATGTAGTCTAGTTTTTATTTTTTTAATTTTTTATGGAATGTTTATATATTTATATTTGCCTTAAAAGTAACATAAAAATAGTAGCTCAATTGGGTGATGCAAATTGTCATTTGCAGAACAGTGGTTCGACTCCTCCAAGACAAACATGCGTTTTTACATTATTGTCATAGTTAAATTACTTATTTATTGCATAAATATTAAAATTATTGTATTTTAATGATCAAAAAAATTATAACTTTAATGTAATAATTAGATACATCAATATTTTATAATAATAAATGAGTGGATATAATTTCCTTTTTTTTTATTTATAAAAAATATATGTTCTATTTCTAATTATATAAAATTAAATGTTACAATTACAATTTTTTTTATATTTAAACTATTTCAATCAATTGCATGTTACTTGTTTAATTATTTAGAATTTATGACATTTGTAGAATGGCTCCTAAAAAACACGACATTGGTTGGGAACACGCAACACCTGTTGGTAGTGATCGACGAATTACAAAGTGCAATTATTGTGGTAAAATAGTTCATGGTGGCATTACTCGAATGAAACAGCATATTGCACATGTATCCGGGCAGGTGGAAGGATGTCCACGTGCACCAAAAGAAGTGTCGCAATTCTTGAGACAACATCTTAGTGATTGTAGTAAAGAAAGGGCTTCTATAAAAAAGAAAAAAGAACGAATTATGCAATCATTACGAGATGAAGATTGTTACAACCTGGATGACGACGATGATGATGATGGTGAGAATCAAATTGAAGATGGTGATTTTGAAAGAAGACAGTTAAAGCATGCAATGAAGGAAAGTCGTCAAATGGCTTGGATGGAGGAAGAGGGTCGTAGGCATTCTGTATCAAATGCAAGCGGTCGATCATCACAACCATCAAGCTCAGGAATCAAGCGCGAACCACCACGTAGCTATAGCACAAAAGAAGGTGCAAGCATGCCTATAAGTGGCCTTGATCCGTACATGTTCCCGTCGAAACAAAAGTCAGTAAAAGGCATATTCTCAGGTGCGAACCTGAAAAAAGTGGGAAAAGCTATTTCAAAGTTCTTCCTCTTCAATGCCATACCATTCAATGCAGCTGATAGTGGGCCTTACTATCAGTCAATGATTGACACTATTGCGGATGCAGGCCCAGGTATAAAGGGTCCCACAGGATATCAAATTGGTAGTTCTTATTTGGAGGAGGAGGTTCAAGAGCTTGATGTGTACATATCTTCGATGAAGGTAAAATGGCCTCAGTATGGTTGCACAATCATGTCTGATGGGTGGAGTTCTAGAACAAAGAAATCCATTATCAATTTCATGATTTATTGTGACCGTAATATGATTTACCATACATCAATTGATACCACAAATATTTCAAAAACTGCTGACTATATTTTCTCTCTTATGGATAAAGTTGTTGATGAAATTGGAGAAGAAAATGTAGTACATGTAGTAACCGACAATGAGGCAAGCTTTAAAGCAGCTGGTAAGATGTTGATGGATAAAAGAAAACATTTATTTTGGTCTCCTTGTGCAGCTCATTGTATTGATTTGATGCTGGAAGATATTGGTCATATGAAAGCAATCAAGGAGACCATAGATGATGCTAAGACGATCACATCTTTTATCTACAACAGTCTCAAAGTGGTCAACTTAATGAAGCAACATACCCGAGATAGAGATTTATTGAGGCCAGGTATAACACGATTTGCCACTGAATTTATCGCCATTGAAAGTCTTATTCGTTATGAATCGGACTTGAAAAGAATGTGTACCACCGATGAATGGCGTGAGTTCAACAAAGACAAGACGAGGAGAAAAACAAGAGATATAGTCTCAAATCTTATTTTGACTGACCAATTTTGGAAGAAGGCTAGAGAAGTTCAATCTGTCATGGAGCCTCTTGTTAGAGTCTTAAAAATAGTTGATCAAGACAAAAAACCAACTTTATCAATTATCTATGAGGCAATGGACAGGGCTAAACTAGCCATACAACATTCAGTCAAAAATTGGAAGAAATACTGGGCTGTGATTGACAAAAGATGGGAGATCCAATTGCACAGACACTTACATGCAGCAGGTAAAAGTATTTAAAAATATAAATAGTTGATCATTGTGTATTAGCTTGTAAAATATTATAGTTTTTCACTAACTTACATTAAATTATCAAAAATTTTGCAGCTTATTTCTTAAATCCAGTTTTTCAGTATTCTAATCAATTTTCCAACCATCCTGAGGTAAGATCTGGTTTGAAAGAGGTTATTAAAAGATTGGAACCAGATTTGAATAAACAAGCAAGGGCAATGAATGAGGTATGACGATTTTTGATAATTTTTTATTATAATATGTGTATATATTTGTCGTTTACGTAATACATTACACAATAAATTGCAGATCAAATTATATACTGACAAACATGGCGAGTTTGGGAATGCACTCACTAGAAAAGCTGTACATGCCTCCCTTCCAGGTTTATTATTTAAACTATATGTATTTAGTAAAGTATCATTTGTTACTCTTATGGTCAATACTAATATTGTACAGTTTTTTTTTTTTGTAGCTGAATGGTGGATCAATTATGGTGACGAAGCTCCCCATCTGCAAAAAATTGCAGTCAAAGTTTTAAGCCAAACATGTTCATCATCAGGGTGTGAAAGAAATTGGAGTACATGGTCGCTAATCCATACAAAACTTCGCAACCGATTGGCAATGAAAAAGCTACATAAGCTAGTTTTTGTGCACTACAATATGCGGTTGCGAGTTAAAAATTTGACATATCAGCGTGAAAATGATGATTTTTATAATCCAATTGATTTGAACTGTATTTTTAATGATGATGATATATTAGATGAGTGGATAAGAGAAGGGGAGGAATCAATTTTACCACCTGATAATTTAGGTTGGCTGGATGAAGGTATTCGTGACATTGAAGAAGGTGGAAGTGGACGAGATGTAGTTGATGAAGGTGACACTAATACGGCACCAACATCTAGCAATTATGCCACTACCAGAAGATCTGAAAAAGATACGAGGCCAACTAATAAGGGTAAAAAGGCTATGAGAATTTTTGTTAGTTCTAGTGATTCTTCTTCTGATGATGATAATGATAATAATGTTGCTGATACTTATGGTGGTGGTGGTGGTGATAGTAGTAGTACTGATGATGATGATGCTAGTAATCATGGTGGAGATAAAGATGAGAGCAACAAGAGTGATGGTGGAGGGACTACTGGAGATGGTAGTGATACTCAGCTACCTGGCGGTATGTCATGGGCACAGGGGCAAGACAATTACTATGCCACACAGGATACAGACCATGGATATAGACCAGGGGCAATGAAACAACGAAGGAATTTAAACTCTTCCATTGGTGATGATTATTCCCATAGACGCTACCATCATTCACTTAGTCGACAAGATATTGACGATCATATGCAGAATTTGGGATTGACATCATATGAAGGATACATGTCTTACGGACATCATCAAAGTAGTGGTATAGAATCTAGCTATTCACATGGATCATATGGATATGGTATCCCTTCGCAGCTTTCGAGGTCTACTAGTACTAATAGTGCTGGGCATTATGGCCATCGCCCTACGCATCTTGAGAGATCTACTAGTACTAGTACTGGTGGTTACTATGATCGTGTTCCAAGGAGACATCATGATGGATCTTCTAACACAACATCGGATAGTGTCAACTTTTATGGATATGATCAGTCTTCTGCTAGTAGTGGCCGTGAATATCGTGGTTTTGGGTACTATCAGTATGGGAACCAGCCAGTACAACCTCCACAGTCACACTACTCTGATTATGGGTCATCTAGTCAATCAATTCAACCAACCCAATCAGACCTGTATTCACACTTGTACTCTAATTCTTATGGTAGACAGTACCATAATTTGTATTATCCTAGAGACAATAACGACGATTTTGAACCTCATCGTCGTTCAATGTGGCAATGATTACAGCTCAATATGTTCCTAAATGTCTACATTGAACATTGATAATGATAATTATTTTCGCTCGTGATTTTATGTTTCATTTTAATTATGTTTAATGTGTTTTTAGATGTATTGTGGATATATGATGCATAAATGATAATGTCTATTTTTTTAGAATTTTTTTAAATTTTTTTGGAGCTTCTATCTTGCATTTTGAGCGTATCGTCCGATACCGCGCCGCGACGCCGCGACCGATGTGTATCAGTACCCTCCGAGTTCATGGCCGATACCGCTACTTTGAACCATGGCCCCCACACCTCCCTTCCTAAATCTACCCATGCTGACCGGTATGCAAATGTCAGCATTCACAACTAAAGTTTACCACCTATTGAAATAATGACAATAATTATTTTTATGTGTAAAATAATGGAGATAACCATTACCAGAGATGAATCCTTAACAGGCCCTGCCAGTTTATCTGATTACACATACAACTTATTAACAATCCAAACATAAAGACATTAGAGAGACATTTAATGAAAATTGTACCTGCATGTGGAAACAAAAATGATGGCAGATTGAATATTCATCTCTTCCATTTTGGTCAAAATGTGTAGCAAATAAACATCCTTCACATTTTTGGGGATAGAAATACACTGCTGTCTAAGAGACTTAACTGTCATGAAGCCTTCATATGTCTCATAGAAGTATGCCTAATTTGCAGAAAGCTCAAGTAGTGTTTGTAGGTCGCTTGTCATTGTTGCAGAAAATAATAAAGTTTGTCGATTCTTTGGCAAGCACTGGAACACCACTCTCGGCTCCTCTTCAAAGCCCACATCAAGAACTCTATCTGCTTCATCCAAAACTAAAAACTGAAACAAAATAAAAGCGATAACCAATATGAAAGAACTCATGAACTGAGGTGACATCAATGGTCCGCAGCAAGTGCACACAATAGTAGAGGGCGTTAAATCATAGGAGCATGGGAGAAAAACAGAGCAATGGAACCTCAGGGCTCGGGAGGAAATTTCCCTACTATAAGAGATGTATGCGCCAACATAGCAAAAGGGTAAACAAGAATACAAATAACATAGTGTAGAAGTCTGAACAAGAATAGCAGAAACTAGGGTGCCAAGGTGTTCTGTCACACCAATAAAGCAATCTCGTGTGGAAGCCCATTTGGGTATGAGCATTGAACTACATTATGTGCCAAAATTTCAATGTTATCCAAGCAATCATCTAAATTTCAAAACTATCTGATACCATGAAAATAAGGAACCCAAAAATCGCAACGTAATTAAATAAAAACAAATCGTACCTTAGTTTTGGAGAACACGGCAGGAATATCAGGATTTGCTTCAATGAGAACCTTAATCCTTCTAGGGATTGCTATAACAACATGTGGCCTCTTCATCAGCGTCTGGGCCTGGTTAATCATGTCCATCCCACCCACTACAACCGCACACCGCAAATTCAAGCACGACCCGAGAGCACGAAACTGCTCGGCCAGCTGGTATGCGAGCTCACGGGTTGGAGTCACCACCAAAGCAAAAATCCCATAAGAATCTTCCGCTATTTTGTTCAGTATAGGCAGTGCAAAGGCCGCCATTTTTCCACTACCAGTCTGTGCTAACCCTAAGACGTCTTCGGGGAATGCAATGGCATTCGACCGGAGTGGGCTTTTTCATGCCAAGCTTTTTGGGTGGATTGTGTTCTTAATCGATCCAAACTCTGACCCAAATCGGGTTATTTCATTTTTTACTTCGTATTTTTGTATAATTAGAGAAAGATTTACTTGATATTTTGAAGAGAGAAATAAATTTTTACTTAATGAAACACTTGGATAATTTGTTCTTAATTAAAGAAAGAATAAGCCCTAACTTTCGATTTTTAACTCACGACTTGTGAGTATCAACATGGATATGATAGTAATAATAAGCTTGTAGTATCAAACCATTTGGCACTAGTGATTAAGCAAATCAAGTTACAATTGATAAGAATTTGATTAGAATTTAAATAAACACTCAACATAACTAAATCAATACCTTTATTCATATTATATTATATATTTTGTAGAATTAAAATTTGTTCAATTAGGAAAGAATGGAAGTTTAACTATGGATTTCTAGTTCGTGAGTTATGAGTGTCAATCTAAATACAACATGATTAATAAATATATCAAGTTAATTTAGTTAAAAATAAATATTGTATTGTCTTTGATGATATCTCAAAATAAATTTCAAGTGCCAGCTCAGGAGGTCAGCTTAGCCCAGGAGGTCAGACTAGACAAACAGAACTCGGAAGAGTAGAGCTGGAGGTTCCTTCGAGATAAGCAAGGGCAATAACAATCAAGGCAACAACTGGATAACCTTGAGAGGTTCTTAAAGCATTAGAAAGCTAAAATCATGGCACCTAATCTTAACCAGCCAAGATCTTCTCCTAGAATTAGAGAGAACCCCATAAAGTAAGGGCTAGAATCTCAGCCAGGATCCCACTTAGCAGGGAATATAACACCTCCTAACAAGAGAGAGGACCCTAGGGACAATAAGAAGCCATAGCAACTTTGTAATCATCGTGAATAAAACAGAAGGAGCAAGAACCTCCATTGAAGAGTGGACTAACCGAGCTCCTAAGCCGGTAAATCATTATATTTTTACTGTGTGCACCCCTTCAATCCCCTGAATATTCTATCAGTTAGCATCATACACGAGCCTCGTAGCTTTGATCCACGCTCACCCCGCATTACTTTCACCTTAAGCTCTTCTACGTTGGTAAACGCTATTAGTTTGGCGCCGTCTGTGGGAACGATTGTTCCTATTATGAATAAAGCTGATTTTTCAATGACTGATGGTATCAACGCGAAACATGAGCCGAGGTCAGACCAATCCTTTACAGATGCAAGATCAACAGGAAGCCATAAATAACAGATGATCCGAAAATGCTCAAGAAGTAGATCCCCCCATGGGGGGCCTTCGCATGAATAATGAGATGGAAGTCCTTCGTCTTGTCAATGAACGTCTGATAAAACAGAACGACAAGCTCTTAAAACTCCTACAACGCCCACAAAAGGCACAACCCGCGTAAGGAAGCCAGAATAACCCACCACCAAGAGAACAACTGCATCTCGACCCCCTTAGAGAAATTAATGAGGTGGGAGAAAATAGTCAGACCTTGGGGCAAGAACCTCGCCTACCCCTAGAAATGGTCACAACGAAGAAGTGCAAAGTCAGTATAAGGAAGGGGAGAGGAGCGACTTCTTCCCTTATCAATAGGAGAGAAGAGAACACCACTGGGAACAACGTTTCAAAAACATCCAGCAAGAGTTCAGCCAGATGAAGGAGGCAGTGAAGAGCAAGGCCCCAGTCACTATGGATGCCTTGGTACAACAAACCGAATCCTCATTCACTGCAAGGGTGCTGCATTTCCCTCTTCCACATAAATTCAGAATGCCGCAGGTGGATGCTTTCGATGGGACAAAAGATCCCGTGGACCACCTCAACACCTACAAAAATCAAATGGAGTTGCATGGATATCAAGATCCAGTGAGATGCAGGGCCTTTTGCTATCATTCTAAAGGGCTCGACCTTAGCATGGTTCAACAAACTCCCCCCAGCCTCGATTTCTTCTTTTAAAGAGCTGTCAATCTCGTTTGTGTCCCACTTCATCAGAGCTCGGACCTATAGGAAACCGAGCTACCATTTGTTAAATGTGAAACAGGGACCTGATGAGAACCTACGGTCTTATGTCCAACGNTTGTGTCCCACTTCATCAGAGCTCGGACCTATAGGAAACCGAGCTACCATTTGTTAAATGTGAAACAGGGACCTGATGAGAACCTACGATCTTATGTTCAACGGTTCAACTCAGAATCCTTGAAGGTGGATGTCCCGGGTGAAAAATTTGTTATTACAGCCTTCATAGCAGGTCTGGGGGTTCAGTCAAAAGACCTGATGTTTTCCATCTCAAAAAAACCCCAGGCTAGTATGGCGGAGGTGCTCGCCAAAGCAGAAAAATACATAAATGGTGAGGAAGCGCTCCTCTCCAAGGTCGGGAGCTCTTCGTCGAGAAAGGAGAAAGGGAAAGAAAAAAAGAAGAGATAACGAAGTCCCAGAAAGGAAAGAGAACGAGGCAGGTCTCCAAGAAGAGACAAAGAGCGTTCCTCGAAGAGAAGGGGAAATGTCAGGGATCGCCTCGACCCTCCACAACCAGAGCTACAACCAAGGTATGCACTCCGGCAACTCACCCCCTGACTGCTACAGTGTCTCAGATACTGTATGAGGTGCAAAATGAGAAGTTTCTTAAGATAGCCACCCCGGATGAAAGCAGACCCGGTAAAAAAAGATCCTACGAAGTATTGTGACTTCCATAGAGACCATGGTCATCACACCAACGACTGTATCCAATTGAAGAGGAAAATAGAATTTCTAATTCAGCGAGGACAGCTGCGACACTATATGGCCAATGATAATCAAAACTGAGCTCTCCCACCCCTTCAACATCAAGCACCAGAGTCATACCATCAACCTATGGGGGAGATCAGAGTGATATCTGGAGGATTTGCTGGAGGATGAGGATCCAGTTCTGCTAGAAAGGCCCACTTGCGAAAAATCAGAGCCACAGAAGCTCCGGAAGTATATACTGTGTCAAAGTCTCCACGCTTAGACACGGCTATCACTTTCTCAGATTCAGATTTGGAGGGCTGCCAACATCCCCATGATGACCCTTTGGTGGTAAGAGCTGTGGTGGCCAACAGGACTATCCATCGTGTTTTGATTGACAATGGCAGCTCGACAGACATCATTTTTGCTTCTGTTTTCGACAAAATGGATGTAGGAAGGGAAAAGCTTGAACCAGTAAGTGCCCACCTATTAGGATTCTCAGGAGAAAGGGTGCTGCTCCTAGAGTCAATCCAACTCATCTTGACCTTAAGTGACCCACCCTGTCAGACTACAACAACTGTGAAATTCCTAGTGGTTAATGCACCTTCAGCATACAATATGCTCCTTGGAAGACCCTCGCTCAATTCTATAAGGGCTATTCCCTCTGCCTATCACCTTGTAGTGAAGTTTTCAACAACAAACGGAGTTGGAGTGGTCCGAGAAGACCAGCGCGTAGCACGGGAATGCTACATGACATCCATGAGAAATAAGGAGGTTGAGAGCATCCAATTGGATGAGCTTGACATGAGCGAGGAACTCGAGACCAGACCAACACCATCAGAAGAACTGAAACCTGTTCAAATTGATGAGGAGTCGGAGCATCTTATTTACGTTGGATCCAAGCTGAGCAAGGAGATCAAGGATCTCCTCATCCAATTCCTTAAAAGGAACAAAGAAGTTTTTGCGTGGAAGCAAAAGGACATGAAAGGGATTAATCCCTCTGTCATCACTTACAAGCTCAGCGTGAATCCAGCATGTAAGCCCATTAAGCAGAAGAGGAGGAGCTTTGCCCCGGAGCGTCAAAAAGTCATCAACGAAGAGGTCAGCAAGCTCCTTCACGCGAAAGCCATTCGAGAAGTGGAATACCCAGTCTGGCTAGCCAATGTAGTCCTAGTCAAGAAGACAAATGACAAATGACGTCTTTGCATTGACTTTACAGACCTCAATCGTGCTTGCCCGAAATATAGTTTTCTTTTACCCTGGATAGATTTGATTGTAGATGCTACTGCGGGACATGAGCTCCTCAGCTTCATGGATGCCTTCTCTGGGTACAATCAAATCGGGATGGATCCCAGTGACCAATAGAAGACCTAATTCATAACCGAGCAAGGGACGTACTGCTATCAAACGATGTCTTTCGGGTTAAAAAATGCAGGAGCTACTTACCAGTACCTAGTGAATAAGATGTTTCAAAAACAGATTGGGACTTTCATGGAGGTCTATATTGACGACATGTTGGTCAAGTCACTGAAGGCAGAGCTCCACATTAGGCACCTATCAGAGTCGTTTCAGGTCCTGAGAGAATACAAGATGAAGCTCAACCCAGCTAAGTGTCCCTTTGGGGTGTCAGCAAGAAAATTTCTGGGCTTCATAGTTAATAGCAGAGGGATAGAGGCTAACCCAGAGAAGGTAAAAGCAGTGTTGGATATGCAGCCTCCCTCCAATACGAGGGAAATACAGCATTTAACAGGGAGAATAGCTGCCCTGAGTCGCTTTGTTTTCAGATCAAACGACAAGTGACAGCCCTTCTTTCGAGTCTTAAAGAAAGCCTTTCAATGAGATGCTCGGTGTGAAAAGGCCTTCAAAGCATTGAAAAAATACTTAAGCTCCCCACCTGTCTTGGTAAGTCCGTTACAAGGAAAAGTGTTTACCTTTTACCTGGCTGTCTCAGAGTTCTCAACTAGCGCACCGCTAGTAAGGGAGAAGGACAGAGCTCAGCAACCAGTTTACTACTGCAGCCAAGCTCAGAGGGGGGGCAGAAGAAACGTATCCTAAAATGGAAAAACTCGTTTTAGCCTTAGTGACAACTGCCAGGAGACTAAGACCCTACTTCCAAGCTCATACTATCGAAGTCCCAACAGATCAACCTATAAAGCAGGTGTTGCACAGGCCAGAATCTTCGGGGAGACTGGTTAAATGGATTGTTGAACTTAGCAAGTTTAACATCTGA